TTCGTAGCCCCATAGGGAGCTCCACCGAAGGCCCCAGTGGGGGTGTTCGCATGCGGTTCAATTTTTTTGTAGTTTTGTGTAGTTTGTTTGTATTGCTTGTATTTGTATATTATATCAAGCAATGTTTGTATTTTTGCTACACAGCGATTTTGGATTAACATTTGTATGGTTGTTTTTTTTTGTGTTGTAGTTTGCGTTTCCTTATGCGTTTGAACTTATTCCAACATCAGCGCGTTGAAAAAATGCGCTCGGTTTGCAAGCAAAGGGGGGGGGGGGGGCAAGGCGCCGAGGAGGCGAGGCCTCCTTTATTTTTGCACTGGAGGCAATGCCTCCTGCGCTGGAGGCTCAGCCCCCAGAAGAAGAGAAGATAATATAAGGTTAAACGTTTAAGGAACCACAAGAGGAGCTTCGCGCTGGAAGTGCCAGCGAAGAAACGGGCGCTGTCCGACGCTTGCCGCTGCAGGGCGCAGCCTTGCGCGCGGCCCCTTGCCCCGCCCGACTCGGCGACCTGGGGGGGGGGGGGGGGGGCGTCCCCGAATTCAATTTTTCGTTTGGGATTTCGATGAAGAGGGCCCCTGGGCCGAGGAAAGTAGATTTCACCCCGTCCAGTCTCTGGCCGAAGTGTCCGCGGCCTCTGCGGGCGCTGCAGCTCAGACACAGCTCGTGGATCGGACCGGCGAGTTTGGCAATTGCTGGGGGGGGGGGGGGGGGCAGGGCCAGGTGCAGGGCCGACCCCAGCGGCGACGCTAGCCCCAGCCCATCAGCACAGGGTGTCCCGGATACCCTTCCGAGCTCGACTGCTGATGCTGCTGCTTCTTTATTCGCCCCATTTCCTGCTGTTCCTGAGTCGGTTTGGCTCAAGCACTGGGCGCAAGTTGGTTGGCAAACGCGCTCTCTTGCCGATGTCTGGCCAGCAGCTCGCGAATCATTGGCATGCGCTGCAGCTGGGCCTCATTTTCTCCGCGTTAGTTCTCGATGTGCTTCATGGGTCTCGGCAGTTGAGAGAAGTATCGGCGAACGCCATGGACTTGATGCGCCGCGTCGGTCACGAGCTCATGGGCCCTGCCAGGAGATCGGAGTGGTTCACCAAGCAGAGCTCATGCGTGATCAGCCTCTCCGGGACACTCATGCATCTAGGTGGGCTCGAATGCGCGCGATAGTTCAACGGGTTGAGCGGCGTCGGAAGCGAAACAATAAGATAGTTCAGGTTCAGCAGATGAGTGAAAGTGCCTTGAAGCTTGCCAGCATGGCTCTTGCAGGAGTTCACGAGCTGTTTCCCCCCTGGGCAAGGAGCTTGGGTGGATTTCGTCGGCAAGCTGAAGAGCCTCGGTAGCCTTTCTCTTCAGCAGCTGGTGGACATGTGCAATCTTGTGAATTGAAGGGCAGAGCGAGGGCGGGCTCGAGCCACGAGCCAATCCTTGCGCGAGCTTCAGGATTGGATTGGCGCCACTGGAGCCTTGGGAGTTGTGCGTCGAAGCATTAAGCAGACCCCAGTGGAAGCTGATGAGTTATATTTTGAAGGTAAGTGCGCAGCTCATCCTCGAGAAATCGTCGATCAGAAGGTCGAGTTCTGGCGCCGCAAGTGGAACTCGAGTACCTTGGGGGCAGAGCGGGTCTTGGATGCAATGCGTACTGTTAGGCAGCAGGCTCTGGTTGAACAGCTGGATCCCCCGGCTGTGACTGTCTCTGACCTTCGGCGCGCCTTGGCGCGCGTGAAGGCGAAGGCCGGCGTAGGTTGTGATCAGATGTCGCCGTTGGGTTTCGAACGACTACCAGACGCTGATGTCAATGTCAATTGCACCTCCCCATCGAAGTTGGTTTTAGCAGGCCCTTGGCAAATGATGGTTGCAGTTGGACGGTCGTTGGGGAAAAAGCCAGGCGGCGACAGGATCATCGGATTACTACAAATGATAAATCGGTTGCGGGGTCTTGCGCGCGAGGAACAGATGCGGGCATGGGCGATGTAGTCAGATTCTCATTGGGGTGCAGCAGTTGCGGGCGACAGCGGGTTCAGAAAGCATTCTTAATTCTGAAGCGTTTGCACTGGTGAATATAGCAGAAGGAGGAGCATTAGTCGATCTTGAGGCATTTTACGACAGCACAGAGTACACTGTTCTTGCGGACGCAGCGTTGCGTCTTCACTTTCCACCAGTTGTTCTATGTTTGTGAATGCCGACATGCGTGATTCCGCGGGCGTTGTCACAGTTCAACTCCTTCTCCCTGCCCTATCAGAGCGCGCGAGGCGTCATTCAGGGTATCAGAAGTGGCGTCCGTTTCGGGCGCTGCTTACCGTATTTTGTGTTGCAGGAGCTGCGCGTGGCTCACCTACGGATGTCAGAGCGGATCTGGCTTGACGATTTGGAGCAGCGAACGGTGGGCTCGAGGGCCCAGGTCAAGCGGGATCTCATCGCGAGCATCACAGACACGGTCTCCGAGTTTCAGCAGGTATCACTCAGCATTGCAGCTGACAGTGTAGTGACAATTGCCTCGCATGCTGACGCTGAATCAGTGGTCCGTGGACTTCGGCGGCGGGGCATAGACATCGCGGCTGCGCTTCAGACAGCATATCTAGGAGCTGATATGCGCAGTGGAGTTCGACACGCCCGCGAGACTGCTCGGAAACGGGTGGTCAAAGCAGGGCAGCAGCATCAGAAGTCAAGGCGCGCGGCTGCAGCGCGACGGTATAATATCACTTCTCGTATCGAGCGAGCGGGGTCTCAGGCTGCAGCCGCGCATGGGCATCACATATACGGTAAGCTTGGGAGTTCCATGGAGCTTCAGCGACGCCAGCCCGGGGCAGCGCTAGGAGCAGTGCGGCGAGGTCGGCGCGTGACAGCGCTGGTCGGGATTCGCGCTGCTCACGCTGATGCATGCCTTGTTCTTCCTCGCCAATGTTTGTCTCAGTGGCTGCAGGCGTGGGTCGCAGAGCCGTCGATCAGAGCAGGAGCGCATCGGGTCTGGCCTCAGATAGTTCAGCATTGCCGACAATTACCGGAGGCCCATGGGTCGAGACGCATTCGCGGACCAGTATCGACAGTGATTGCTTGTTTGTTGCAGGCTGGTTGGGATCCAATATATCCGTCAGAGGGGGATCTTCCGCGCGGCGATGGACAGGGGCTTCGCGCGCGGGAATTTGACGATGAGGCTGCTCTGTGCGCGTTGGACCAGGCAGAGATATACTTCTGGGGTTCGAAGGATCATCGGCCCAGCGGCAGTGGCGTGAAGCTGCTGATCTACACTGCGGCGGTGGCTTAGAAGAGGGCGCAGACTTGCTAAGGTTGCGCAAGTTTGCCATGGGCGGCAGCTTGCCGATCTTATGGTGCCCATCGCGGTCGGAGGAGCGCAGGGGAATGGTCGCAAGTCCAGCGTGAGCTTCGGCGCGAGCAGCACCTGCGATAGATGTTCTGAGGCCCCCGAGTCTGACGTTCACAGAAATTGGCTGTGCCACTGTAATCGCGGAGGTAGAGCATTCGATCAATCAGAGTATCTTATCCCAGAAGCAGTTGCAGATCATGACGCACACCCGTGCTTCTGACGTCGAGGCATCATTCCAGCCAGGTGGGCGCAATTACCTCCACCCAGCGCGGTCGAAGCTTGGACAGGAGACAGTCTTCATGTTGGGCCAGCTTGGTTTTCGGACACGGTACTACCGAGTGCTCTGTTTACGCCTTCGGAGATGCTGGAGGCCGAGACGCCCGCGATTTTCGGCTTCGCAGTGTGGGCTTGGCAGTTTCTGTGATCACAAGCTTCATGCCCTTCACGGTTGGCCCTTTCTTCATGGGGCCCTTGGCGGGAGGGGTGCCGACTGTGCCCGAAGGCGAGCTCGCGGCCCTTGTGCTCGCCATTCGCGGTTCGACAGGGGCTTTGATTTTCGTCGCAGGTTGTTCAGAAGTGCGTCGAGGATGGTGGTCGCAGCTTTATCGCTTTCCTGCTGGGTGTCATGCTGGGTTGTGGAGGCTCATCGGTCGACATATGGAGGAGCAGCAGCGGCAACCGTCCGATATCATAGTTATGCAGTTTCCATCGCATTTTAGTGCAGAGGAGGCATGCGCCAGGCGGCTGCCCAGCTGGATGGTGCAAGTCAACGAGGCAGTGGGCCACTTAGTTGGGGTTGCAGCGGAAGCAGCACGAGTTCCAGCAGAGGATAGACACAGAGTGATGATGCTGGAGAAAAAGGCCCTTCTCATTCGGCGCTGGCTGCTGCGAGGTGGGCTATGTTTAATTCAGTGCGAGGCCGAGAAGAAGGCGACAGCTGCTGCGGCCAAGCGAGCAGCACGCATCGCCTCTCAAGCCGCAGGTAATGATTGTGCTCCTCCCCCTCCTGCGTGTCCTTCGCTGCCGCTGCCTCCCGCTCCTTTCATTGTTGCACGCTTCGCGACTGCACACACCCTTACTGAAATCGGTAAGTCCTGTTCGGTGTGTCAAGGGTCAGCGACTTTTAGCTACTGTGTCCGAATGGCGAAAATGTGATTGCAACTCTTTAGCTTCAATGGACGGTAGGGTGTCTCGGGTGAAAGAGGGGTGTTGTATGCATATCGCTGGAGGTTGGGCCCGCCCCTTTGCATTCCCCAATGTTTCATCATTCGTTGGGAATTTGGTATGGCAGTGCGGTTATTTTGGACAACTCCAGTTCTGAGGAACAGGTACCGTCTGCAAGCTACCAGTTCCAAGGCTCGTCAGGAGTATTTTAATAGCTTTCGACACGACGAGTTTCCCAAGCGCAAGCGATCTGAGCCTCGAGCAGTGGTTTGAGCAGTGGATCTCTCTCTCTCTCTCTCTCTCTCTCTCTCTCTCTCTCTCTCTATATATGCATTTCCGCTACGCGAAGGCTGTAATTATTGTAGTTTCTCTTCCTCCTCCTCCTCCTCCTCCTCCTCCTCCTCCTCCTCCCTCCACCCAAACCCTCCTCCTTATCCACCCCGCTTCCTCCCCCTCGTCCCTCCCTTCCTCCGCCCCCCCCCTCCCCTCCCCGTTGGCCCCCTCGGCGTCCACGCACCCAGGCGGCAGTGGGCGCCGTGCCGACCCCGGCCCGCGCCCGGCGGCCGTCGCCCGCCCGTGGCGGTGTTGCCCCCGCGCTTGCGTCCGCGGGGTGCGGCGGCCGTGGCTGCGCCCCCAAGGCGCCGTCGGCGCCGCAGGCTGGTCGAGGATCGAACGATCGAGGGTCGAGGGCTCGAGGGCTCGAGGGCTCTTTGCGTGTTTGACCCTTCTCGGGCCTCTCCGGGGAGCTGTGGAGATCTCAGGCGCCTTCGTCGTCAGCGGGGCAGCGTCGGGGTCGGTGTCGGCGTCGTCCGCGTGTCGACGCGTCGAGGAGTGGATTTGTCGAGGTGTCGTTGTCGTGGTCGTCGGCGTCGTCCTCGTCGTGGCGTCGTCGTCGTCGTCGTCGTACTCCTGTTCCCGGAGCTTTCGGAAACGCCAGCGAGCGCTCAGCGGCTGTGCCTGGGAACTCCTGGAAGGGTTTCGAGATGTTTTCGGGATCGCCCAGGCACCTCCCAGGGAGCACCTGAGATCTGGCTGGGAGTTCCGATGAGCGCCTCAGATCCAGCAGCATCGCCGAGGGCGTTTCACGAGGGCCCCCTTCTAGGCTCTAGGCGTTCCTGGAGTCCTGGAGGAAAAGGGAAAGGCTGATTCTAATCTGAGCGATGAATATTGGAGGGGGGTCGAGGTGGGGGCAGAAGGGCAGGGTGGAGGTGAACGGGGACGTGGAGGACATCGAGGAGGACAGGGAGGTAACTACGGAACACTGCGGCAATAAAGGTCGGCATGGGTTCGAGAGAACCAGCGCAGACCGACGCTGTGCCTGGCGCGGTTTCTCGCGCCCGGACACCCTTCGGGGCCAGCATCTGGGCAACAGTCATTGATCCCCCAAGCCAAAACCATGGGCACCGAGACGCCCACGGCACATGCGCCCTCGAACTTTGGCAAGGTCGCTTAGCCAGGTGTGGGACCTGGCGGACGGTGTAAACATGTCAATCCTCGTGGCGGAGCGTCCATGCCTCGGGCCGCGGAAAACCACCGACCGACGGGGATGCTCCAGGAAGAGACCCCTGGCACGCCCCAGGCCCCGCAAAGAGAGCCCCCTTTTTGCCATTTCTACGTCTGGTGGTCGGCTCTACATGTGGCGCAGCCGCCGGCAATACATGCGGTTGAGGCTGGTTGCCATTTCTGGCCCGCCAATACAGGCGGCACGGACTACCCCGATCGGGAGGCGTTCCAGCTATCCCTGAGTCCTCAGGGGCCCCGCTGGCCTAATCAGAGGGGACGAGACAGGGAGAAAGTGGAAGACGAGGATGATGATTCGGATGAGGATGATGATGAAGATGATCATAAAGATGATGCAGATGCTGATGATGATGATGCTGATGATGTTGATGATGCTGATGATGATGATGCTGACTTTGTTGATGCTGCTGCTGATGATGCAGCTGATGCTGATGCGGATGACGTTGATGCTGCTGCTGCTGCTGATGGTGATGCTGAGTATCATGATAATGCTGTTGATGATGAGGCTGCTGATGATGATGATGATGATGGCGATGTTGATGATGCTGATGATGATGATGATGATGGTGATGCTGATCCTGGTGATTATGATAGAGATGATGATGGTGATGATGCTGATTATGACGATGGTTGGTGACGATTATGATGGTGCTGCTGATGCTGGGGATGGTGATGGCGATGATGATAGAGATGATGATGATGATGATGCTGATGATGATGATGATGATGATGATGATGGTGATGATGATGAAGCTGATCATGGTGCTGATGGTGGTGACGGTGATAATGACGATGGTGATGGTGGTGGTGGTGATGATGATGGTGATGGTGGTAATGGTGATGTGAATGATGATTGTGATGATGATGATCATGATGATGATGGTGATGGTGGTGGTGGTGGTGGTGATGATGCTGATGATGATCATGGTGTTGATGATGATGATGATTATGGCGGTGATGATGATGAGGTGGCTGCTGATGATGATCATGATGATGGTGCGCTTGCCGATGCCGCTGCTGCTAATGATGATGATGATGATGATGATGATGATGATGATGATGATGATGATGATGCTGATACTTAGGATGTTGGTGATGATGATGCTGATGATGATGCTGATGATGGCGATGACGATGACGATGATGATGCTGATGATGATGATGATGATGATGATGGTGGTGGTGGTGATGATGCTGATGCTGATCATGATGCTGATGATGCTGCTGCTGCTGCTGCTGCTGGTGTTGATGATGACGATGATGATGATGATGATGATGATGATGATGATGATGATGATGATGATGCTACTGATGTTGATGTTGATGTTGATGTTGATGTTGGTGGTGATGATGAAGCTGATGATGGGCAGATCTTGAACAGTAATCGTAGAGCTTTCGAAGGCCGCGCAGGTGCCCCGCAATTGCTCTGGATCAGGCCTTTCTCGTTGTGAAGCCTCCGAATGCAGACGCTTCAGGGGCCTGGATGTGCAAGGTGCTCCACGAGGCGGTGCTGCTGGCCTTCCACGTGGGTTTCGCCTGGTTCCGCCAACTGTGGGCGGCCTCGCGGGTGACGGTCGTCCCAGCCGTTGTTGTGATTCGCGAGGTGTCAGCGCCCGCCCCGCCAGCGCGGGGCCGACATGCGGCCGTGGCGCCGCCCACCCCCGCGCTGGCCCAGGAGTTGTGCGCGCAGCTCGAGGCGTGGCGCGCGCCAGAGTTGTGCTGGCGAGGAGATGGCCGTGCTGGCGGGCGAGCACTCCTCGCTTAGAGGATCCCCTGGAGTGTGGGCCAGGCTTGGGCGCTGGTGATCGGGTGGGTCCCAGGCGGGCACGAACGGATCACGCTAGTTGTCAGGCAATGAGCATTGGCGATTGGCGATGAGGTGCTTATCGAGTATGACTTGGCTGGGCCACAGCTTCTCCATAGTCGGTTCGTGGTTGTAGTTTCTCATGCAAAACCTCGTCATGCAGAGTCCGTCTCTCCAGGTCACGACGTTTGCATCGAACACTTCTCGGACGACAGCGACGATCTGCGATATTGGTACAGGAAGTTGACCGGCGGCCTCCTCAACAGGAACGGCGCCGACGTGGTGCCGCCAGCCGCGGCAGGAACGCTGACGCTGTACGATTTAGGCGCCGAAATGCAAGGTTTCGTGTAGCAGGGCGCGCTCATGCTCGGTGGCCATGACGCTGTTCTTGGCGCGGTCGCTGGTAGGGGCTGCGATGCCCGTAGCCACTGTGGCCTTCCTGTCCTTGCATCGTCGTGCCGGCAGGGCCTCCCCGCCCCCGTTGGAACGCCAGTGCCTAAGGGAGTGGGGAAGGACAGCGGCCAGTCGTTGGAGGGGCGCCGGGAGGCTTGGCACGGCTGCTGGCGTCGCCGGGGGCATGTGCGGCGGCAGCCGGAGACGGCGGCGCGTTGGCGTCCCGGTCAGCGCTCCCCGCCGGGCTGGCCGCCGGAGGCGGCCGGGGCGGAACCGGAGCGCAGGCAGGAGCTGAAGCCGCTGGGGGCGCCGCCCTGGCTGCTGGCCTGGTGGACTTCGGGCTGGGTCCGGCAGGGGCGCCAGGCGGGTTGGTCGCTGGAGATTCGGACGCCAACGGCCGCGGGGACTGCCGCACGCTCGTGGTCTCCTACGACATCATCGGGAAGCGCCACCAGTCCTTCGCCGCCGCTGTCGGACTCCTTCGCTCAATCGTCTGGGCTGACTGGGTCGTCCCAGGGCCGAGGACGGTTTCTTGGGTCGCGGTGTTCATGCTGGGGAATGGAGGCGGTGCTTTGTTTCACTGCGTTCAGTGGAGGTCCGCGCTTCGCCTGGGCCTGGAGGATGGACTGGTCTCCAACCACATGGAGTTCGCTAGGATATTCTGGGCCGCGCTGTGCTGCGACCAGCTAGACATCGCGAACATGGCGAGCCTCGAGCTCGTCGACCGCCAGATCCAGCTGCGCGAAACGCAGGGCGATGCAAGGATTGACTGCTGTGGACGCGCGGCGAGGGTGCGGGCTCATGGCGGCGCCGGAGTTGTCGACTTGGATCAGTGAGCAGATTGCCCGCGAGAGCGCCGTCGCCAAGGTGCAGAGGGCGGCCAGGGAGGAGAGAACGCCCGCGCGGCCCAAGGGAGGGGCCAACGACGGCGAGGGCGGCAAAGACGGGGAGTGACCGCCCCAGCCTCGCTTACGATTTCGGCAGCCTGCCGCCCCATCGGCCCAGGGCGGGCGGGCATTTCGGTTTTCGCCTGCAATAGGCGGGGATGCGCCAGCGCGACGTTTTCCCTGACCCTTTTTCCCTGCTCTTTAACTCGCTGGGTCTGGTTGCCGCGCCGTGGCGCGCCGGGCCCAGCGTCACTGGCCCGCCCTCGACTTGGTCAACGACGGCATCTTCTCCCTGAGCGCCCTCTCTGGGCGCGGGCCGACGACCCTCGTGCTGCCATTTTGGTTCAAGCACCCCCCCCATCAGGCTCGAAGCTGCGGCTCAATGGCGCGGCTCAAAGCTGCAGCCTGAGCGAGGGTTGATTTGCCGGGCAATGCCTCATGGGGCATGTGATTATGTGTCGGGGCGATGCCATCGCCGAAAGTTGTGAATATAACCCGTGTAATACCCTCATATTTACTCCTTATCCTCACCTCTCCTGCGCCTGGCCGTTTGGGCTCAGGTATTGGGACAGATCGATCAGACCTTTGATCGTGCAGGAGGGAAAGACATCCATCTATCCCTCCTTCCCTCTACCAACGGATCAGGGGTTCTGTACCCTTGTACTTCAACCCCATACACAGGTTATCAGCCCTTTAAAGCTCACCGTTCATCGAACCGCACGTTGCGACCTCGCACGCGGCCTCGATGGAACCCAAGCGGCGCATGCGCCGCAAGGGGTCCATCGGGGCCTCGCGTGCGAGCTCTCCGACGGCGCGACGGCTCGGTGATGAGTTGGAGAGCCTTAGTGCGGACTGTGTTGGTGTCCCAGCCCCCCCCCCCCCCCAGCTCCGACGGGCCCGAGGCGCGGCTAGCTGCTGAACTTCACCGCAGCGCCGCCCGCGGGGGGGCAGGAGAAAGAGTAGGAACAGGAAGGAAGGAGTTTCACACGCCTACCTTCGATCCTCCATCTCCTCCTCCGTCGGGAGCAATCCCAACCGCGTCAGGCGAAAG